CTTTTTAAACAATCCAGTCTAAAACTTTATTCATGACTTGTCAAATTTATCAATCTATATGTTTGCAATCTATCTTCTCGTTTTTAAAAAAGTCAGTGTTTCCTCATCTTCAATAATTGAGCACTTCATAGTTCACCATGCTTTCTTACAGACCACCAAGCGTCCTGATATCACTCTTTCACTGAGAGCCAGAGACTTGAGCATACTTGATGTCTTAATATTTGGGTGCAATGGAGAAAAACAGCAGTAAACTCCCTAAGGGGGGCACCTCAATTTGTGGCCTGTTGCGTCATCACCAGACTGTGAGTCTGAGTGTAGGAAATCAAGGTCGATGGTTAGGCCAGTTGAAACAAGAGCCACTTTGGATCCTCAAGGCCAAGTCTGAGAGGGGCCAGGGTATGAACAATCACAGCTCTGCTGTCCTTCAGCATATACGTTACTTCTGAGCCCAAGGATGAGAGCCAGCTAAGCAAACATTTCCAAAGAATTTGGGACACATGCAGCAACTGAATTCGAAAGCACTGTACAGGTGACAGGGGTTACCCACCCCACCAATCCTTTTCAGAGTCAGAATCTTGAGGTTAGAAAAGAACTTTCTAGATCTAGTCCAGGGGTTGTAAACTAATAGACCACAGACCAAAAGTAGCCACATGTGTCTTATTTGCCTTCCCTTGTTACCTGTTTGAATTAACTAATATTTAAAAATCTGAAGATATGGCATGAAAATAGATTTTGCTCATCTTAAAAAACAAAGATATGGCCACATTATGTCTCTACATTGAATAGCAGTCAAAATCAGGCCATGTGTTCTCAACCTGACTTCAGTGATCTTCAGTGAGTACTGTTGATCTTTCCCTTGAGAATTTGAGACACAGGGACATTACCTGCCTACAGGCACTATGACAAGGAGACACAAAACTGAGAACTAGGTCTTCTGCTTTTGTACTGACTCCCCTGCATTCCCTTTGCTGGGCCAGAAATCCCAAAGGGCTGCAATCCACTAGGGAAGGTAAAAATAGCCAGAAACTCAAAATCCCAGCATTCCTTAGGTTGCTGAGCACACCCACACTCTAAACTATCTGTGCTCTCCCTACAAAGCACTGCACATTCCCAGCCTCCACAGATGCCCTCAGACCCAGCTGTGTTATGAGCAAACATGAGGCTTTCTCCTTTGTTAATGGCCTTTTCCCTACCCACACAGGCAGTTAGGGAACAACAGACTCCATGGGACATTGACTCGAGGGAGAGGTTATAGAGAACAGTTACAGATGACAGGAGGTCAGTAGGAGTGAACTCTCTTCCTGGCTTTCTTCCCAAATGTCAAATGGCTGTGGCCATAGCCTTCAATACATTGCTTTTAAAAAGTGCGGACTCTGTTCAGATTGACATAGTTTCACACAAAGGATGTCCTAGCTATGCTCCCCTTGAGTATAGTGACATTGATTTGTAAAAATCTTTGAAATCTTCAGTTTAAACAGCCAAGAACACACAGTATCATAGCTTCACTATCATAGCTTCCAGGAATATCTTACCTAAAACTGCCCAAGGAGATAGGTGGTTTCCTTTATATCTAGGAGATGCCAATAGCAAAACTATAGTCTGTGCAAGTACCTAGGATTGGCAGCTGCATGAGGAATGGACTAGTAACAGGGAACCATTCACATGAGACCATACTCTATAAAGGTAGTGGGGGTACAAAATCAAGAGTGTCTTATTTAAGGATGAGAGCAGAAAGCAAGTAGCAACTGAACTGGAGAGAGCAAGGCTGAATAGTTGAACAGGTACTGAGTCAGAGATTCTGTCTTGTATAAAGAACCTAAAATAAATACACTGTCAAAGGGCAAGTGCTCAAACATGCACAAAGTCAATGACAGCTGAAGCCAAAGAACCTGTCCAGGTCTGCCTTTGCCCTGCCACCGATCCTGGAGCAACCCTTCCATGTTCTCCTGAGGACGGCTGCTGCCAGGAACCAGTAAGTATGGAGCCAAATTCTCCTTTGTGCTTCCCTCTGGGCAATGAATTTAAAAAATTCCCCAGAGCCTGTATTCTGGCATAAATTAAGGTGTTACAGCAAGTTCCAAGATTCATCAAAACCCAAGCCAAACATCTATTCTGTTTGGGTTTATTGATCCTGGCTATTGTGTGGCCTCCCGGGAGCACAAATGAAGTATCAGGCTGCTGGCTATGGTCAAAGAGGACTTGTCTCTTACCCCTTGAATAAGGAAATTTATTCTCATTGAGGTCAAGGAGGTTCTTCTCGATGCATCATTTAGATCCAATACTTTTCCCGCCTATTGAATATAAAGTGATTATATTCTCAGAACTAAATGATGATAATACTCTTTAATAAAGATTTTTCAGGTGCTTTTTCTCTTTTAACCCTCAACCCCCTCAGAAGCTGAGTCTGTTGGTGTCCTCAATGATACTAAGCAGGAACTCAGGAAACAGGCTAGGCTCTATGTAATAGAAAAAAACTAAAGCTCAGAGAGGGAAGCAACCAGTCTTTCACATTTGGGGACATGAATGTAGAATTAGGGCTAAGAGCCCTTTCACAACAGGCATGAACTTTCCAGCTCAGTACTAAACCAGACCTGAGTGGTAAGACCAGGAAACCCTTGGGAAGACACTCTTGTAATGGCTTTGTCATTAATACACAGAATTCTGGTACCTCCATTCAATGAGTCCAGGCTAATAACTTGGTTTAATGTAAGGCTGTTGTAACCAGGAAAAGATCCAAACCTTCCTAATGCAGCACTGGTCACTCAATTCAAAACCATGCAGTCTTTAAATATCAGGTTTTCATGAGGAAAGTACAAGGGTGATGAGGAACTGTCAGCCCTTCCAACATGGCAGTAAGTAAAGGAGGAATCATCATCACGTACATGATGATTTGCAAAAAAGTGACTCAGAAGAGCTTGTCAGTATGATGTGGTCAGTAGTACTTATTATCCTGTCCACACCTGCAAATTTAACAATTTAGTTGTTTCTTCCTTTTCCTTCCTGCTTGAAGCTACTGGCTTCTTAGCTATTAAGGCCGGAGTCTAAACGAAGGCTGTCATAGGACTCAGCTCCTCTGCCCCCACTACGCTTTTTCATTTTAAGTCTCTGCCTCAGAGTTTCACTTTCCTGTATGGTAGAGTTTAAGTGTCTCACAGGAAGTGAACAGATCTCCCAATGATAAAAACTATAGACTCTTGACAAAATAATAATAAAAAAACTGCCTGAAGGCATTGGTGACTAAACAAAAAAGCAGGTGAACTCTGGAGAGGTTAAAACTTTGAAGAAGGAAATGGCACAAGATGAGTTCCCATTTTTATGGCTTTTAGGCTGATAGGCTGTTTGAAGAATCGGAGCAACCACAGCTCCTGAAAGTGAGGGGAGAACCCTCAGAAGAAAGAGAGCCAAAGAAAGAGAACCCCAAATTCTGTGCATAAACTCTGCCCACATCTCTGGCTGACCCCTGAACCATACGTGTGTGGGAAAGACTCCAGCTTAAAGATAAAAAAACTGAATTAAGATTTGAGCTGCTGCCCAAGACAGTTTACAGTTTGAGTCCAATGAAATTAAATGCCTGCTAACAAACATCAGTACTCTTCAGAGAAATACAACAGAATACACAACAAAATCATAATACAGAGAAATATGAAGCAGTTATTATCAGTAACCCACTGTACTGATGTTCTGATGACAAGTAAGATGCTAATTAGAAAATAACTCATATTCAAAAGTACTTCTTAGTTGGAGATGTTTGTTTCAAATGACTTTTATTTGTGCCAAAACTAAATCGCAAACTGCTTACTGACACGATAGGTAGTGTTGCTCGTTGGGACACTTGACTGGAGAGAGAATTTAGGGAGTCGGGTGGAGAGATTTTGTGCAGAGGTATTTTCACTTGGTGAGGATGTGAAGGACAGAGCTTTTCAGTCTGGGATCCCTAATATTCAACACCAGGCCTGCTACTAGTTCTTATAGGGATCTTTTATTTTATTTTCTTTCCCAGAAGGTAGAGCACATGCTATGAAATACTCTGCCAGACTTGTAAAGGAGGCAACCTACAGAACATAGCAAGTGTTTTTATAAGGAGAAAAGTGATGTTCATACAGAACGCTTAGAGAGCATCAGAGCCCTGTCTTCTGAAGTGATTCTAAAATGGAATTACTAAACAGAAGTATTTGGAAGAGATAATCCTAAATCCATTTTGGGTTTCACACTGGTTCTTCTCTCCTTTGTTAACTGAATTCTACATCTTGTGAGACTAGATTTCAGAAACAGAGCCAGCTTGCCAACCCCAAAGATTCCTGGTACTCTCAAAAGCAGGATATGATAGAAAAGGGCACAAATTGGTTTTTGGGTGTGGTGGGGAAGAGAAAGGACACAACTCACAAAAGTGACAAGAGCTATAGTAAGAAAGATTACCAATAAACCTGAAGTTATTAGTTTTGGAAATGGAGGTGACAGTTCCTCTAAGGGCAAGCAGTATGATTATTTAATTACACCAGCGGTTCTCAACCTGTGGGTCGAGACCACTTTGGCGGTCGAACGGCCCTTTCACAGGGGTCGCCTAAGACCATCCTGCGTATCAGATATTTACATTACGATTCATAACAGTAGCAACATTACAGTTATGAAGTAGCAACGAAAATAATTTTATGGTTGGGTCACAAAATGAGGAACTGTATTTAAAGGGCCAGAAGGTTGAGAACCACTGAATTAAACAAAAACAATGCCCAAATTAAGAGAATGGAAGCTCCCAAAGAGTGTTCTTAGCAGCCTTGTAATGTGCACCAATTAAACTGGTTTCAGTGTGAAAATGGCTCGATGACTCTTTGAACTAAGACCAGATTAGTCACCCAATCAACAACAGAAAACAAAAAAGACCCCCCCAAAAAACAAAAAAAAAAACCCCAGCAGAACTATAAAACTCCTCTTTTTATCATAGATTTCCCACTATAAAGCTGACCACCACATCATCCAATGATGTAAAATTCTAGAAACTTGACAAAATTTCTTTTTAAAATTTATTTTTTGTTATCAAAGAGAATGGCCAGAAACATTGAGTACTAAAGAATCTGTTCATGGCATCATTTTACAAAAGTTCCTAATGGAATGAGAATATTTTATTTCAATGTATCTCCTTCACTTATTAAAGATGAGATGGATGAACTGATGTAATTACTTAAAAAAAATTCCAGACAAGAACATCCATTCTCATTCTGAATCTGCTGACTGGAGTGAATTCAGTGGTTGCATTATTACCACTGGCTAAGAATCCACCTCCCCACAGCGGGGAGCTATTCAAGTCTTCTCATCAGGTCTCTCAGAGATAGGCACCATGTTTGAAGTCTCACACAAATGTCTGTGTCACTTAAATTACAATGTGGCAGTGTTTTTCTCATGGAGACATAATCTTGAAAGAAGAGGCAAAGTCGAAAATCACCTGCTTGCATGTTATATGTGAGTACATTATTCGACTGTGCAGGGGTTTTGGGCATTGTAGCCCTTGTTAAAGAGAAATTTCACCAACAAAACATCTGTCAATTCTCAGCTGCTCCTGATGCTGAGGGTGTCTACTCATACAACCATGTGTTGTTAGGACAGGGCCTTCTTCATCTACTGTTTGGCTCAAATAGTTTGAACTGAGTTTAGTTGTCCTTCTCCTCCATCTTAAGCTTTATTTCTCGGCTTCAGGATATGTGGGGTACTTGACTGTCTCTATCTTCTCTCGGACTTTGTAGGAGGGATACAAGCCCGTCCTTCCCAGTTTCCTGTTGACACCTTTAGAATAGCCATCCCAATGATTTCCAGCCACACCAATGATATCTCCAGGTTCCATGGGAATTTCATCTGCAGTTCGAGGCTCGTGAGGATAAATGGCAATCTGGTTGTGGGCATTTTGGCCCCCAAAATAGTAGATGTCATCCAAAGAATGGAAGTTTGCAGAGGCATCAGGATGCAGTGTTTGCATGATTTCATAAGCGACTCGACAGACCTTGGGAAATAATTTTTAAAAAATAGTTAGTATATGTAAGATCCCCATCAGAACAATCTAAAAGCCCTTAGCCAAAGAGAGCAGAACTAGACTAGGACTAGAACTGAGAGAATGAGAACTAGTGGATTCTAGTCACAAGTTTTCAGTCCATTTGCTCTCAAGTGATGATATAGCATATAGCATAAGTCATTCTTCATTCTGTGCTTGCATCTGTGTTTTTTAACATAAAAGATTACAATTAAGGTCTCTGGGAGAAAAAATGTATAATGCAAAGTACTTTAAGAATATGAATCAGTTAATTTTAATAAAGATTCATTAAGAACCACATAGTACTCCATGTTGGGCACTGGTGGTATAACATGAGTAAGACATAGTTTGTGCCCTTGAAGACTTTAAGGTTAGGATTAGGGTTATAAATACTTTACAAAAATGCTGCTGCTCCCTTTCCTTCATTCAGTGTTAATCAATCACATACTCTTTTCTGCTAATTTGAACTTGGCCTCCGGACTCTTTTCAATAGAAATTCATGTAATTACTGACAATTAATTACCACTGGCAAGTGAGAGAAATATATCTACCATTTCCATTCTAAATAGTTTTAAGTGTGCTGTGTAGACAGTAGCATTCTAGGACTGAAATAAGATGGACTTGTCTTTGGGGAAGATGCATCTACCTGATGCATTTAAGGCTACTTAAAAGATTCCTGTCCAAAGAATACCTATTATGCCCACTGGATGGATGTCAGCTGAAATTCTACAACCTGAGCATCATTCCTTGAGCTTAATGCTTGGTGATTAAGTTAAAATATAACTATCTTCATGGAAGTATAACATTTTAAGCAATTAATAAATACATTTATTATAGCATAAATAGGTTGCAGAAACTCTTCTAAGAATAGTGAAGAAATAAGAGAGAATGCTATCATTTTGCTTAGAAAATTCTTCCAATATACATTGTGAACAGAGAACTCAACTCACGTAAAATTTTCTTAAATCTCCAGTTGTAGTTATCTCAGTTAATAAAGTTTTATTGTCCCCGTACCAACAGACATAGAACTAGACACAGAACCAAGACAATGACTTTCCATTCGAACCTGCTACTTCATCAACACACTAATTTTATATTGGGAATGTCATGGTACAACTGAAAACACTGGTAGAATACTGAGACTATAACAAATAAGGCTAAAAAGATTTAGAACTTGAACTTTAAAATCAGCCAAAGGCCCACTGAGGACAAGCAAAATCAAGTGAAGACTCTGGAAAGGAAGAAACTAAAAAATTAAAACAAAGCAGCCCTAATAATAGCAAAGTACAATAATAATAATAGAGGCTAATATTTACTGAGTTTTTGCTGTCAGATAGTGTTTTTAGGTATTATCTAATTTAATTCCCTCAATAGCCCTATACAATTCTATCATGTTTATTTTACAGACGTCAAAGGTCAATTAAGAAATTTGCCCAAGGTTACACTATTATTAAGTGGTAGATTCAGGTTTTGAACACAGGCTGTCTGTGTATGCTAGTTAACTGCTAAGCATATTTTCTCTTATAGACACTGTTCTCCATGTTTGGACTGTAACACCAGAGAGATAAAACATAAGGCCAGGCTGGCCTTGGGCAAACCTGAGAGTCTTCTTTTCAGGGCATGTCCAGGTACTCTTCAATCATCTTTAGCCAGAAATGCATGACCTTGTATTGCTTGACCTTGGGATGACCATAAGGCCCACTGTGGCAATGAACTCTAATGAACTTCCTCCTCTCCACTATTAAATATCTCACTCATAAAAACATTACCCTCGCCGAAACCGGTTTGGCTCAGTGGCTAGAGCGTCGGCCTGCGGACTGAAAGGTCCCAGGTTTGATTCCGGTCAGGGGCATGTACCTTGGTTGTGGGCACATCCCCAGTAGGAGATGTGCAGGAGGCAGCTGATTGATGTTTCTAACTCTCTATGTCTCTCCCTTCCTCTCTGTAAAAAATCAATAAAATATATTTTAAAAAAAACAAAAAACATTACCCTCAGTCCCATACCCTAGAAGCCTTCTTTTGAGGAAATAATCCTAATTATCAGTTTATGTTTTATATCAATAATTGTTGCTATGTTAGTCTGCTGGATGACATGTATTTCCTTAAGCCAAAGTAATAATGAATGGTAGAAATTTCAGACATTGAGATGGAGCCATATAAGACCGTTTATCCTTCTCATATTGGTGATAATCATAGCAGTTGAGGTTAATGAGCACTGGTAATGGTCCAGGTACTGTTTTAATAGTGTGCTTGCTTGCATCTTTTTCAACTCAAAAACTCACAAGAACCATATAAGGTGGCTACTATTATTCACATTTTATAGATGAAGAAACTAAGCCACAGAAAGATTATGTAAATTTCCAAAAAGTTTAAAAAAAAGGCAAAGCAAAGAAAAAAGGAGCTAGTAATTGGCAGAGCCACAATTAGCACTCTCTCTGGCTCTCAACCACACACTAAACTGCCTTAGGATAAGTCTTAGAGCAGTACCTGCCACATAGGCACTCAATAACTATCTGTTGAATGAATACTGCTCCGTGCATAACACCAGCCAGCAGTGGAGATGCAAGTCCACAAGGGGTAATTTAATCCTTAAGCTTCATATATAACATTCTGAGTAATTAAAATTTTTTCTCTATATTAACAGTGGGGCAATTTACTGCAAAAGCTAGAAGGATTACTATAATGTTGATGTTTGCATTTAATCACCCTAGGCTTCCTCTCTGGGTTTTACAAGTCCAAATCATGTGGCAGGTAAATGAAGGCTTTCAGCTGATCAGTACTCAGGTTTGATACCTGACAGGTAACATGATTGATGAGGCAAACCCTTTGGTTTGCAAAGCAGTGGCTGGTCACATTTTGTATCTTTTATTTCATTTTGTTTTAACATGGCATTATATCATTTTTAGAACACCAATAAGCACAAGGTAATGGGTAAGAACAAAAACCCTGATAAAGAATAAAACATAGATATGACTGTATTAAAAACAACAATTAAAAAGGAAAGAAAGGTCCATTAGTCTGAACTTTATCCCTGAGGAACAACTAGCTGAGTTTGCATGAGTCTCCAAAGCTTTCTCAGAGCAGCTGAGATATCCTTTTTTTTTTTGTCAAAATAGACAAGGCCAAGAGGATCTCTAGTGTGCAAAGTAATATCTGTTTTTTCCCACTGCACTCTCCAAAATCGGACTCAGAGTGTAGTGAGGCCAGTTATGCTACGTGTGGCCTTGGAATCAGACAATGAAGAGTGTCACAAGAATGCTTTTAAGAATCACAAAGGGAAGTGTCAAAGGGGGAAAGTAAGTAATTTTGTCCCATGTTGATTTTAATGCTGGAAGAAGGAAAGCAAAGCATCAAGCACCTCCCTTGAATCTCAGGGCCTACTGACACGTAAAGTTGGTAATATTCAAACATTTATATATTTATTGCATTTTATTTTTTTTTATTTTTAAAATATAATTCTATTGATTTCAGAGAGGAAGGGAGAGATAGAAGCATCAATGATGTGAATCATTGATGGGCTGCCTCCTGCATGCCCCCTACTGGGCATTGAGCCCGCAACCCGGCATGTGCCCTGACTGGGAATTAAACAGTGACCTCCTGGTTCATAGGTCAACACTCAACCACTGAACCACACAGGCTGGGCTAGGCTATATTCATTGGATTTTAGAGCTTTATGACTAGAGTGGTGGTTCTCAACAAGGGTGATTTTGCCCCCACAGGACATTGGGTAATGTCTGCAGACACTTTTGATTGTCACAATTGAGGTGGAGGTGCTACTGGCCAGGGATGCTGTAAAGTATCCTAAAATGCACAGGACAGTGCCTCACGACAACTTTTCTGGCCCCAAATGCCAGGGGTGCCCTGGTGGAGAAACCCTTGACTAGAGGAACAAACCTTAGGTAAGCCCACAGGCCCACAGAGGAGGTGGTACATAGAATGATTGACACATTCTAAGAACACCCATTAAAAAATGTGTGGAGGTTGTTACTAGTTATTTGCACCTGTTGACCAGGCAGACACATAGTCAGACTATCAAAACAGTTGAGAGAGACCAAAAATAGAAAAGGGAGCTCATCAAAGTCAGGATCGTGACCCTAATTAGGGAGAAACATCAGCAGTGGATGCTTCATGGGACCTGAAGGCCAAGGAAGTTTTCTTTCTGACTAGGATTGCTGCCTGTGTGACTCCTGTACTGTGTAGCTGTCTTTTTGGGTAGTAAGTTGTATTCCTATTCCATATTGAAGAAGCTCGTATAGCCTTGGCTGTGGTAGGTATCTTTCCAACAATCATATCACCATCCCACTGTGACAATGTGCATTGTCGCACATTAGAAAACTGCCCATTTATTTATATTCAAATGAAAATGATGTGGATTTCCTCTTCACATTTTCTCTTCTCAACTTCATCTAAGCTTTTAGGCATATATTATTCTTACATAATTTACATTTCTTGGTAGTTATTTCATTTGAGTATTTTATCTTCATTTCCTCTGGAATCCCCTCTACGCCTAGTATAAATCTGAGCACAAATGGTTGTTTAGCAGATTTTGAATAAACTACTCAGTAATATGCACATAAATGAAAGAGCAGAATAAAATCCACAATAAATATTGCTATGGTGATATTCAACTGGGAAATATGAGGCTGCTTGTACCACTCATAAAAACAGATACACCTAACCCATAACACATAATTATCTACAATTACTCTCAAAACATGATTGTAATATGGTATTGCTTAAATTTAATGTACAGTCTCTTGCTTGGTAGAAATGTAGTAAGATTTGAAGAGGAATTACATTTACTCTTTCTTATGTTCTATAAAGCAATTGAGACAAAATGCTGGGCATTTAAGCCTTAGTATCAGTGTATCGATAGTAGAAATGGATGGGTTCTGGTTAAATATTGACTGTGTGCAAAATCAGAAAGTATTAAGCAAGCTTAATTACCTGCTGTTTCTATTTAATGCTGTGAACAAGCCGAGCACTTTAAACAACTCTAGTAGCTGGCTTCAGTAGAGATGTATTCAACCATTGCTTGCAAACAACTAAATATTCAGTGCACCTAAATAGCTATGTTTTGGGGGAATCTTCTCATGCTTTCACAAAAATGGTAATTCGCAAATATTAGAAAATTTCACCAGAATCATGATAAGTACCATTTTAAAAAGCCCTAGCCAGTTTCATTCAGTGGATAGAGTATCAGCCTGCGGACTGAAGGGTTCCAGTTTCGATTCCGGTCAAGGGCCTGTACCTCAGTTGCAGGCTCGATCCCTGGCCCTGGTTGGAGCATGTATGGGAGGCAACCAATTGATATGTCTCCCTCACATCCATGTTTCTCTCTCTGTCTCTCCCCTCCCTCCCACTCTCTCTGAAAATCAATGGAAAAATGTCCTCAGTTGAGGATTAATAAACAAACAAGAAAACAAGAAGTTCCTAACCCTAATATGACCAAAAAGTACTGTCCTCTTAAAAATACCCTACTATCACTTACCTGGGATGAAAAAGTACACACTAGGAAGTCTGCCTGGGAAAGAAAGTGTATATCCAGAATCACACCCCTAAGTGAATTTTCCGTGTATCGATTGTGTAGTCCAGCTGACCAAGAGATAGAGTTATCACTAATAAATTCATAACTGGGGTACCTGAAAAAGAAATAAATTGATACATAGTCACTGAAATCACAATATTCTATTAGGAGGTAGTATCCGATCAGCAGGAGGCAGACCTGCTCCTTTGACCAAGAGTTCCTCTCTAACAGTAAAGAGAGCTTTAAAATGATAACATTCAAAAGAATAGTCAATGAAGCTTCTTTGAATCCACTAGTGGGACAGAAACCACTCTGGAGTACCCTGCATGTTAAATATCATTGGCATACCATATAAAATACACACTGATGTATCAAAATGTCCCTTCTCAATTCGTGAAAGAGTTGAAAACAGAAGACTCCTATTTTCTTTGTAATGAGTGAGCTCTAAGAAGTTTTGCAAGCTGCTTTCATATTTGGTCACTGAACTTTTCCTTTAGAATATAAATATCATGATTAAATTTCATTAAAAATTTTAATTCAGAATTTGGGATAATTCAGACTTATCCTCTAACCACCATCCTTGAAGAACCATCTTAACCAATAACAGTAATGTAAACCATTCTAATACATTTATGAAGGCAAATTTCTTGTAGATGTCCACCCAAGTAATATTTTAGTAGTCTTGAGATAGGATATTTAAAACTATTAAAACAGGATGTCTTTAAAAAGTCTACCTCATGTTCAAATGATTCTATTCTGAATTAGAGGTGTAATTATACTCTAATATAGAGTGAATACATTTTCTCAGTGCCTGAAGTAGATCTTCAGAGTTAAAATGTAAACTTTGGTAAGTTACATGAAAAGAACATAATAATTATACCTACTTCATACATTTCATAAGCATTGAGTAAATACACTAAGCAATATAAACTATTTAGAAGAGTATCTGACATGTAGCAGATGCTCAATACATATTGCTTGTGACTATTAAACATTTTCCCCAGACATCCATCTGGTTTTATTCCTTATTTCCTTTAGATCTCTGCTCAAATACAACCTTATTAGTATGAACTTTGGCAATCAGTATCCCTTTTACCTGCTTAATTTTTCTCCATGGCTCTTATTATCATTGCACATAACATATATTTACTGTTTATTTACTGCCTGCATCAATTCATTCCACCTCCATCATCCCTAACTGAAGAGAGGCATTTCATATATTTCATTCACTCTATTATTCTCAGCACCTATAAGACAATCTGGGATATAACAGAGGATCACTATTTGTTGAAAAATAATAATTCTTATTTATAAATCCTGAAACATTATGAGTCACTTTATTGTCTGTCTCCACACAGTATTCCCCCCAATTGGGACTAAGCCTAATTTTTCTTTGCATCACAGCATGTAGCATTCCACACAACACTGTGAATAAATACACGAACAAGGGAGCGCTATCTCTGCCTGGGACTTTCTTCTAATCCCCTAACAGCTGCTTTGGATTTCACAGCCACCACGGAGCTTTCTCTCATTGACTCTAACAACGACTGTAAAGGTAAAATCTCTGAACACTCTTTCAGACTGGTGTTCAGTGTTTGGATACATTTGGCCTCATTATTTCTGACATTTTGCTCTCCTCAGTTCCAAATCAGGGAGATGAAGGAACTGTCACATTTATTCTAAAAAGAAAACAACCAAAAAAAACTTTTAATGTTATTCCTGCAAAGCTGCATATCCCAGCATGGGGCAGAAACAGTGATAAATAAACATAAAAAGGCTGAAGTGTGGAGGAGAGGATGAATTGCTAAAGTACACCAGCAAGGTTTTATCCATGAATAAAGACCGATTTTGTCAGTATGGTTTGGGTGCTCAGTGAAACAAAAGAGTGATCCTGAGAAGGGACACTAATATTAATGCCCTTCTTAACTTAAAGGTCCCTACCTGGAAACAAACCAAAAGGGTGCCTAAGTTCCTCAGGCTTTATCTCTATATGTAATCCACTTGATGAAGTATACTGAGAGTGGAAAAAAACAAAACAAAGAAACACAGCGAAAAATGGGAGGGAGAGTTTGCATCTCCAATAATGAATGAGCATGGAACTTTCTGCACAAACATGTTTCTTTTTTGTCTCTTGTTCACAAGCACATCAGCAGAGCAATTCTTCCACTGTGAAGTTGCAGAGGTTGCCAAGGAAAAGTATTTTTTTCTTCTTCTACCTCATAAAAATTTATTTTTACATCACCAACAAAGGGCTAACTAACATCAAATTTTCTTTTCTGAACTCTTTCTCCAGACAGAAGGAGATACTCCTCTTCATGACTCAGAAAATTAAACGGGTTTTAGAGAGAAAAATATGCATAAAAGGCTACTACATTTATCCTATCCTATATAATAAAAGGGTGATATGCAAATTGACCCTAAAGGTAAAATGACCAGGAACAACCAGTCGCTATGATGTGCACTGACCACCAGGGGTCAGACGCTCAATGCAGGAGCTCCCCCTTGGTGGTCAGTGTGCTTCCACAGGGGGAGTGCCGCTCAGCCAGAAGCCGGCTCATGGCTGGCCAGCACAGCAGCAGTGGCAGGAGTCTCTCCCGCCTCTGTGGCAGTGCTAAGGGCTTCTGGGTTGCCAGAGGGATGTCTGACTGCCAGCTTAGGCCTGATCTCCTGAGAGCGGGCCTAAGCCAGCAGATGGACATCCCTTAAGGGGTCCCGGACTGCGTGAGGATGCAGGCTGGGCTGAGGGACCCCCCAAGTGCACGAATTTCCGTGCACTGGGCCTCTAGTAATAGAATATGAAGGAATCGCTGCCTGGACTGTAAGGGGAAAAGGAGTTAACTAGCTGCTGACCAAAACAAGTAAATTCAAGTTTTACTACTGCCATAATCTAAGTACTGCCAACTGTAATACAGTACAAGCGTTGTTTGGTGTAAAAATATAATGTGGTGTTATGGATCAAAGCTGTAAGATTCACAGATACTTTTATCTAAATACTTCTGAGTCCAGAAATATAGCTTAAGGAAATAATGGGGATAATTTTAGGCACATATCTTAACATTATTTATAAGATTAAAAAAATGTGGATAACCTAATTATCCAATATTAGGGGAATGGTCAAGTAAGCAATGGACTATCCATAGAGTCGCTATGTAGTTATTAAAAAAGATATTTATAATGATTTTTTTAGTGACCTAAGATAATTCATCTATTGCTGTATTAATCAAAAAAGATTTCAAATTATATAGAATGTGATAAACTACTAAAATAGTGTAACTATGAACATGACTGAAGGGAATATGTCAAAATTGAAGCAGTTACTGCCACTGAGCAATGAGATTGTGGGCATTATTTTTTCATTGCTTGTATAACTACCAACTTCCATATTTTCTAATGAGCATGAATTATTTTGTTAATCAAGGAAAAAAGAAAAAAAGCTTTTAATGTATTTGAGAACAAATAAAAGAGTAGATAAAATTAATATTTTTTCAACTAAGCTATAAATTCAGTGTGGTATTTTAAAATGAAGGAGCATGGTGAACAATTTCTACTTCTCTCTAACAGGTTTAGATATAAAATTGGAAAAGTACTTGTGAAAACTTTCTATTGTATTTTTTGCCCAAACATTCATTTAATCTCTAATTCTTATGTAAGAATTATAATTATATAACTTGGCTTAGCTTATACTTGGCTGGTGAATTTCTTGATTCTTGTTTATAAGTGTGTGTGTGTGTGTGTGTGTGTGTGTAGTCAATAGAGACTTAAGAAAAAAAAGCAATTTACATCAGGTTAATCTGAATTCTTAGGAGGTAGAAATAAGATTTAAATTATTATCTAATGATTTGGAGAAACACCTGCATTATAGTCCTCATTTTAAATTTGTTTTTCTTCCCAACCTCAATTTGTGACATAAAAAAGGGACTGAGAAATAAATTAATTAAATAGTCAAATAACTTCAATAATTAATAAAATGCTTTCAGACTCATGGAACTGAAGTAAACATAATTCAGAATTATCCCAGAATGTTTGGTATCTGAGCAGAGCTAAGACTACAGTTTCCTTCTCCCCATTCCCTACTTTCACATATATTTAATGCATCCCATATTTATTGGTAGTAAATAAAGGCCAACTCTACGTTCATCCAGATCCTACAATAAATTCCAAATTAGGATCAGTGCTTTATGTGTTTTCATAACACCCAATGTTAATTCTATAATAGCACTACCCATTCTGTAGAGCAATTGTCTGTTCCCCACCTAGACTGGAAATTCCTTGAGAGTGCCTTGCTTATCATGGATGCCCAGCACCTAGCACAGTGCCTGAAATATAGACAAGTTCAATAAATGATGGTTACTCTTTAAAACATATTAGTAGTCCTTCTCCTGAACTTACAAAACTTACCTTTTGATTCTTTGTTTCTTTAATATAATTTCTAAATTCCAGACATTTTTATAAGATGAAAACTTATATCTTACTTATGTTTTCAGTTGCCTGTAATTGTTAGTGAAAATATGAGAGCAAAAAGGCAAGTACCTGTGTGTTTTATTGGTAAAGGTTGGTTAGTGGGATAGGCTGAATATTTGTGTTCCCGCCAGAATTCGTGTTTAAACCATAACCCTCCAGTGTGACGGCATCTGGAGGTAGGGTCTTTGAGAGGTAGTTAGGGTTAAATAAGGGCATTAGGGTGGAATCCTCATAATGGAATTAGTGCCTTTATAAGAAGAGACACCAGGAAGTTTGCTGCTTCTTCTAAGCACACAAAGAAGTCATGTGAGTTCACAGAGAGATGACACTGCCTACAAGCCAAGAAAAGAGGCTTCAGAATGAAATGTAACGCTGTTGGCACCTCACAATTGTTTTGATGATATTAACAAGTTACACAAGTGCAGTGTTGAATTTAAAAACCCCAATAGTCAGTAATAGTATCACAAGAATCACAAGTCATGGGAATTAAGGATTCCTTTCAACTGAAAAGAGCCCAACTCTAGAATCACTACTTCATCTAACTTACTTTGTTTTTGCCTCCTTTAATAAAGAAGGGTCATCTGTGGCCAAATACACTCTTTTTTTATCCACTTGCATCCTGCGAGCGAGAAGCTGAAAATGTTCTTCAACGTGCACCATGTACTCCTCAATGGGATGGAAGGCAGCTTCTGTTCCCACCTTGTCTGTGCGTCTGACATGGACTCTGGAGGCAGAGGGACAAAGTCAGGTTCTGCTGCTAATACTCTGACCCACTGGGTGCTCTTAGGGTACTCAACTTTATACCCCTACTCATGGTGGCATTATGAACATTTAAATCAGTCTTCCTTTCATTTTTTGCCATCCAAAAAATAAAATAAATATTAAAAAATTCAAACACATATATCTGAAATATATTTGTATGTTAACATAATACAAGGGGAATTTTAAAAAGTAAGTAAAGTCTTTAAAGACTGCTTTCTTATAGAGAAAGTAATTGGCATATCAGGAATAAGTGGGAGATTCCTAGTATTCCATACTAGGCAACAAAATGTCAATTAACCTTCCAGAAAAAACTGGATATAACAAGGTTTTTGACAACAAATGACAATAATTGTTCTTATAGAACATTAAATGTATTGTCTGTAACGTTTTCATGCCAAGTTTTCTTTTTCTTCATTTTACCCTGTTGGTCACTCTGTAACTGCCAACTAATAGAATTTAAAGTCGCCTGAAGAAAACACAGACCTTGCATGCATTGTTCCTATGGCACAGTCAAAGCAGGCAAACCTTTGAAGGCTCCTTACTATTTTTAAGTTCATGGAGCTGTTCCAGCCCTTTTGTTATAGGCATAATGAATTTCCTTTTTCTGTCTTTCACACTCCATCAAACACAAGCAGATACTGATCTAGCTTATCTGTTCTATTTAAGAAAGGCTCCAAAATTATAAAACTGGGGACACAGAGGTTTACACCATCTGCACTGAAGACTGCATTGACTTCCACAGTATTCTCTCACCATCTTACTGCTTTCAAAGCAATTTTAATGAAAATAAGAACAATAGTAACTGTAGCTTGTTTTCATAAATTACAACTCTCCTGAAATTTGCCTTTTCTGTATTCCTCCTTTCCCTAAATTATTACACCACTATTCATATGTGGGAAAAGGAAAAGGGGAGACTTGTTTCCCTTTAGGTCAAGCAAAGGCTAGCTTTTATTATGAATCTGGGTGGGGGTTTGATTTCACTGAAGTTACTCTAGCATCTTCATGGCTATTCTTTCCTTTGCCTTCCAGGCTATAGTCCAGATGTGAATACTATTATATGAACACTTCTATCATCTTTTCCTTCCCTCATTCTTTTTAATCACTGCTTCTCTCAGACAATTGGAATTGTTCACTGTGCTCCAAAGAGACGAAGAGGGACAAAAAGAACAATTCCATTAAATTTTCAGTGAAAATTTTCATGAGAAGAAACACTATTTGATACTGATTTCACCTTGTACTTTCTTTAGCTTTTTAAAAAAATATATTTTTATTGATTTCAGAGAGAAAGGAAGAGGGAGAGATAGAAACATCAATGATGACAGAGAATCATTGATCCGCTGCCTTATATACAGCCCCCACTGGGAATTGAACCCACAACCCGAGCATGTGCCATGACTGGGATTGAAAGATGATCTCCTGGCTCATAGGTCCACACTCAACCATTAAACCACACCAGCTGGTCTCTTTAGCTTTAACATTTGGAATAGGGCCAGTAACTTCTATATATATGAAAACTAAGACACAATGGAAGAAGGAGGGGTGGGAGTTATGAAAATAGAAACAAAAACAAAGGAGAGATGTAACAGAAAGAAGAATCAAAGGAAGCGGAGTGTCAGACAGTGGCAGAGTACCACACTAGCAATCTTCTCAGTTCGCCCAGTCCTCCTGAAATTGGCCTGGACCAGTATTCTGACGGAGGACCATAGTGAAATCTTTACAGAAGAATCACAAAGTTAGACCTGTGAAGGATAGAAGTCGTTTCATTCAATTAACTCTTTCACCCGACAGTTAAGGAACCTGATGCTTCTAAAGACATTTTGGTAAGCACATATAACATAAGGCATTTCGCACTAGCCAGCTTGCCTCAGTGGATAGAGCATTAGCCTGCGGACTGATGGGTCCCAGGTTCGATTCCAGCCAAGGGCACATGCCTGGGTGGCAAGCTCGATCACCAGTAGGGGACATGCAGAAGGCAGCCAATCAATGATCCTCTCTCATCATTGATGTTTCTATCCTCTCCCTTTCTCCCTTCCTCTCTGAATTCAATAAAGAAATATATTTGGAAAAAAAACATAAGGCATTTCAACCCAGTCTTTACAAAAGTAAAAGTTATTTGTGTACCTGATTTTCACTATTAGATATCAAGCTCTTCTATTTATTCACAATTCAACAAACAAAATAAATGATAGGTAGACACAAAAATCTGTTTAGTATTATGTTAGTAAAAACAAATATCATCTAATCTAGTGTTTATAACAAATGACAAATAATGAAGGCCCATAATGAACAAGTAAGTCACCTAAAGTCACATAAATTTGTTAGTGGTGGATGCTAGATGGGACCTCAGATTCCTAAATCCTAGTGCACTCCTCTCTCATTACAGCATACCACCTCACTTGCAAATAACTTAGTTGTCTGTGCTACTTCAATTTTCTACACTTGGCCAACTCTCCATTTGGTGGATGGTCTGTGGAAAATTAATAAGGGTTGCTTTCTGGTATGTAAAACTATAGGATAGCCAAAGTTAAGGTTCTGGAACTTTTGGCAGAGATTTTCTTTCCTTTTTTCCTCACCTTTGAAATAATTACCTCTGCCCACTTCACAGGACTGTGTTACAGGATCAATGAGGTAATGCAGTTGGAAGTATTCTGGTAATTTAAGTATTACAGTGTTATCTTTCTCCATCTTTAAGATCCAGTTCAAACACTGCAGCTGTGAAGCCTTTCCTGATCCAGACGGAAGTACGTTTCCCTTCCCTGACCTCTTTTAAGTCCTTCAATACTTCTCTTGTGGTATTTATCATGCTCTACCCCATATAATGTCAGTTATGTAAGTCTCTTATCCCACAGGCTAAAATGAACCAGAAGGAGCCATTTGAAAAACATTAATCTCTGTCCCCCACAGTAGCAGGTATTCAATACATCTTTTGCAAATAAGTGAGTGAATCAGCAATCTATACTAATAAAAGGGTAATATGCTAATTAGACCGGGTCAACCAGACATCTTCCGGTCATCTGGTCCTCCTTCCAGACAAAGCCACGGTGGCAGGGGCCGAGGCAGAGGTGGTTAGGGGCGATCAGGCTGGCAGGGGAGGGCAGTTAGGGGCAATCAGGCCGACAGGCAAAGGGGTAGGGGTGATCAGGCAGGCAGGCAAAGGGGGTAGGGGTGATCAGGCAGGCAGGCAGAGTGGTTAGGGGTGATTAGGCAAGCAGGTAGGTGAGTGGTTAGGAGCCAGTGGCCCCGGATTGAGAGAGGGATGTCCGATTGCTGGTCATCCCTCTTGCAGTCGGACATCCCCCGAGGGGTCCCGGATTGGAGAGGGTGCAGGCTGGGCTGAGGGACAACCCCTAACCCCCTGCATGAGTTTCATGCACCGGGCCTCTAGTGTATTAAAATTAATCAATAGCTTACTTTATCACAAACAGCATAAGCAACAGAATGCCATAGCTAGTCTACAAGTCTATTTTCAGTATTAGTCTCTCTGAAAGGTGATAATATTTTCAGTGCATTTTTCCCCCACAGAACCAAAATCCTCTTTTAATCCTAATATTATCAAATTCATCATTTTAAGGACAGGTATTTTAAGTATAGTAGGTACTCTGTTTTACAGATGGAAAAATCAAAACCCAATACTACTATTAGGTAACTTGGCCCAGAAATAGAGAAAAGTCAGGACTATTACCCATGTCACCTAACTCTCAGTCCAGTATTCTTTTCATTGTGCAAAAACCATTTCCCATGGTGTGAAGTCTGGCATCAGGACCCAGGAAAGCTCCTTTCCCATAACTTTTTATGTGCATGTATAGAGTGCATATTTGTCAGCAAATGCTCTTTTGGATATTTCTTACTCCAAGGATTTCCTGATATAGCTCCCATAACATAAGCACAAGACTGAATACATATATACATTGTAACTTCCAAGTGGGTCAAGATTCATTTTAAATAATAATTTTAGCATTACCTTATGGTACAAATGATATCCTTGTTCTCAAAATAGCTTCCAAGACAGAAAAGAAAACAGAACATCAAAAAAGCAAAATAATCACCCCTGGCAATTAATGAAGCCTAAGAATAAGGTGAAATCGGAAAGCTATACATGTGACAGTTTCATCTCATGGCCTGTTGGGGTACGACATGATCATGTATAATATCCAAAATACTCCCAATAAAATGACATCTTGCTGGTTTCCCCAGGAGAGACAGCCATTTTCAGAAATATGGGCCTAATGCATTTGTCAAATAAATAAATAAAACAAGGGTGACAAAGTACGATGACTCAGTCATTCTAAGTAAAAAAAGGAAGACTAATCTCCCTGGGGCCTCAGGTGAACTTTAGAACCTGTTTTTGAGTGGAGCAATGTAAAGTTCACAATATATGGTAAAGGTATATATATATACCTGCTACTCCATATCACTTTATGAGGAACAAATCAGATTCTCACCCAATAACTGGATGTTTGAAGCCAAGCTTCTTGGTGGCCTCTTCTATCTCCTTTTCCAGCCAAGGTTGTGGGCGGATCAAGTATTTGACAAACTGTGACACCCACCACACTGCAGGGTCACCATGAACTCGAACAAGTCGATCTGCAAGGTCTTCTGGTACAGCCAGGGGTAGATATGGAGGACGAGGATGAAGACTGTCCACAATGGGGAGCTCCACCACCTGAACATTTTTGTCCTTTATTTCACCTGAAAGAATATGAAAACATCATCATCACCACACTGTACTGTTCATACAACTACTGCCATTTAACAAGAACTCACTTTGGGTGCTTTCATCTTCATAGCATCCCTAGAGAAGTATAATTTTCATTTTACCAAGGAAGTTAACTAACTTGCCCAACCTGTTAGTACAAAAGTGGTAGAGCTCAGTTCACATTTGGGTTGATGTGCCTCTCAAGTCCATAGCTTTTCTTTTCTACCATAATATGCTGCCAAAGCAACACCTCCACACCAGATAAGGATGGTATCCAGAACTCAAAGCATCTCATCAGAGAAAAACCATATTGCCAGTGGACACAGCCACAGAGTTCTGTTTGTTTGTAATTGTCGTTGTGTTTTTTAAAATTAGACATAAAGTGTTCTCAAAATTTGCAGCTTGTCATTATAGCAAATGGCTCTTACACTACTTTCATGACAGCAAATGATTCTGAAGATACCTAAAGATTACAATTATAAGCCACGGATCTATATCTTTTTAAGAAAAAAATTCAGATTATTCTAAAGTCATTTTTTCCTTTGGCCAAAATAGGCCTATTATATTCTAGATTATGATAATAATAGAATCTGTGTTTACCTGGGTATTGATTTAAAGTTACAACAGCAATTAGATACTAATTTTTGTAGATGGTGATTAGTTTCAAAATCCAACTTCTACATGTCATTAATATTACTGTTCTATCAATATTATAATGCAATGAGAAGAACCAAAATGTGATAGCCAGCATTCCTAAAGTTTAATTTACATATTAAAGATCACATAGTAATAACTAGAAGACAAAAAGATACCAGGCAGAGAGATTTCATAAATATAAAATGTACTGAATTAAATTTTCATTAACAAAAAACATTAACCTGAACATATAAGATAACTCAAGTTAAGATGTTGTCATTATGTATAATGAATTAGAATCACAGTTAATCACTAAACCATTAAAGAATGTACTTGTAGAGACTAAACCTAGAATATATTTAAAATGTAGTCACCAGAATAAATATACAGTCCTCAAATTCTGTTTTTCTGCATTATGCAAAATGTTTTAAAATAAATTACATGATCTGAGAATGAAATCACTCAAACCAACTGTATAGTTATTAGAAAGTCAGTGATATAACTAAGAATTAAAAATGTTTGGCTAATATTCTCTCTCTGATATGTAAAACTCATTTCAGAATTCTTAGAACAAATCCCTTGAAACATGACATGTGTTGCAAGAAAAAATGGCAATAAATAAATTTACCACCAGTATGGCAGTTCACCTAGGGTGCCAGTTAAGAAAAAGTTGGGCAACTTTATTATATGGGAAACTGTAATTAAGAGTGTGTGGGGAAAGAGTGAGCCACATTTTCAATTAAACTCTAATAGTCTCCCTAAGGCCAGGAAAATTGGGGTGCTTTCCCTGATGTGGAGATAAGAGAGTAATACATGAATCAGAAAAAAAGAGGAAGGGAGAAAGGTAGTTCTTTTTATAAAAAAAAAAAAAAAAAAAGAAAGACCCTAGTCTCTCATATATGACCATAAACAAAAGCAAAATTAGTTGGGCTACCTTCCTTTTGTGATTTTCTTCTCAGTAAGGTTAAATTGCACTTACATGAATGTATTACCCTCTGACTGCCCCAGGCATCATTTCCTTACAGATAGCCTTATTGCCAGCTTTCAGAAAGAAATGAAAACTATGCCTAGACCTTCAAGACAGAGAATTCAGTTAATTTTTGTTGATTCTTTGTTCACTCATTCATTCAAATATTTGCTGAACACTACTATGTGGCAAACACTGTCCTAGGCAGAGTATACAGTGATGACTCGTTCTTGCCTCCGTGATTTCCTGCTCAAAAACCTCACCCAGAACTAGAATGCTTTCAAACATCATCACCAAAAATCATACTATCAAAAAGATATCAATTCACTGCTTAGTAAAATATTAAGAGAAAAGGGTATTTATTTATATAAATACTGGCATCGTATCAAAGTTCAGCTTCTTCAATAATGATATGTTTCAAAATGAAAGTAAGTAATAGTATATTTTCTGTTAGAATGTCCCTTCTTTCACTTAGTTTACCACATAGGGTTTTTTATCTACTGAAATACACATCCAAAACAATTTAAATTGGGAATAGATCCTAGAGATAATCTTATTCAGTACTTCCTAAATTTTAGTCATTTATGTACACCTTTATAGTTTTTATCATATCCATGTATCATCAGCACTACTTAATGTTTTAAAAATTCACTTTTTAAAAACTTAAATGAGTCTATTTTATAGATGGTAACTATAAATATAACTTTATTGAAAACAAAACCATGCTATTAAATTTTATATGTGTATATATATAAATATATATAAATATATACTATTGCTTATTAAAGGGCACTGTGCTCAAGCCAGATTTCTATTTTAAAAAAGGAGACTGTTAGTGAGGTTTTAAGGTAATAATTGCTTTTCCCTTACATCTCCTATAAGTCTAAACCTAAATGAGACATGAGGAGAGGAATAAAATGGCAATCAAAATGTATCAACCTGATTACCAATAGGATGAGTTAGAGAATGTAGGTTTTTTATTTTCCTTTTCTTTTTATTTATGGTCTCATAGGTTTCCTAATAGTTCCTACCAAGTCCTAAGCAGAGTTTGTCAACCAAGCCCTACTTTCACAGTGGAGGAGGGGGAATATGTGTTCTGAGAATGGGTCATGCCATGAGAGAAGCCAGTCACATTTGGCTCCTCTGCCCAAGCTCACCAGTTGTATAGCACGTTACTTCCACTGCAAGTGGAAGGGAAATGAGGCAGTCACAAAGAGCAGACAAGCACTTCCATACTTTTCCCTTCTATGGAATGGAATTTACTTCCCACATATGGAAACTCGTGTGAAATGAAGGATTTACAGTGCCTCTCCCCATCCACCTCTGTCCCCAACCCCAAACAATTATCCAGCATTAAAGAACTATTACACATATCATGATACCAAATTGAGACTTTGTCTTTGACATAATCAATAAGACTGAGAAAGGGATAACTTTCTCAACTGCGATTCAATGTTTATTTTAGTACTTTATCAGGAAACTGCCTGAAATTATCTCACATGCAACCCAAAATAATCTGTAGTAATCTGTTATAAATTTCAGAGTTTGGAAAACATAGATTTATTTAAACTCCCTCATTTTACAGAGGAAATAAATAGACTAAGAGGCTAAATGAACTTCTCAAAGATAATACTAGTACAGCTAATAAATGGGCTAGGATCAGATGCTAGAGCTAACCTCATTACTTATATTACATTCTGCTTTTTGGAACCTACACACACACACACACACACACACACACACACACAGTTATCATAAATCATATAATATTATATATATTTTAAAAATCACTTAAGTATAGCCCCTTTGATCAATCAAGAGTGCCCTGCATTCTCTTAAGACTTTACTGTTGTTAAAAAAAAAGTACTGTATCAACCTTCCAGCAAGAGAATGTTTTATATGTATAAGAAATGCATAAGTAAGTCATACACTATTCATTAGTAAAGAATCAGTGCAAAGTAGCCTGGGCATTACAAAATTGAGTGCCCAGTTCAACTGGAATGGACATGATCATTATTAATTATTTCAGGGACTCATTTTCAAGCTACCTCCTCTTGTTGATAATCCTGTTTTATAAAGTGATTTCTCTTTGCTAAGGGCAGGTGAGACTCAAAAGCCTTGTTATACACAAATAGCCCTCTGCCAGGGCCGTAGACAGCTCTTTGGAAGGAAGGATTTCCACAGCTGCATGCAAGTACCTCTACAGAAGCTCCTTCCCTCCTAGTCAATTCCTAAGAGCCCTATTTAAAAGCATTACTCTGTCATCTTTCTGTGTGACATAAGACAGACATACTGGCCCCAGAGCTACTCAATTAGTTATTACTCTTCAATAGACTCAATAGAAAGGGCTCCAGAAGCTTCTCAACATCCACCATGAATGAACAGGTTCTGCTATAACAAAAAATGTTTCAAGAGTAGAGAATATTTTGGCTACCAGTCCACGAGATTGCTTCTGCATTTACAGTCTTCTTTCTTCAGTTGCTACTAAGCAACTGTATCACTGCCTTGTGAGAGAAGCAGAACTCAGGAGGGGGAACTCTCCTGAAGACAGAACTCACAGAGCTCAGAACTGTCAAGGCTAAGAGGTTTGGAATAGTGCTGCCAATTGAAAAAAATATCCAATAAGACATCACTATCTAGAACTTAAATTTCACTTGCGGAGAGGAGGGGATTATTAGTAACTTTTTGGAGCTTATGAAACCAGAAAAGCTGTTTGTTTTCTGAACTCAAGCCTCATAAAGAGGTTTCCCTCAATCCTCCATAGGTCCAGACTTCCCCCAAATAGGAGGAGAGGGATAGAATGGTGTTGTTTTAAATATACTTATTGATTTTTAGAGAGAGGAAGGGAGAGGGGGAGAGACAGAGAAAGAGATGGAGGGAGGGAAGAAGAGGAAGGAAGGGAGAGAGAGAGAGAGAGAGAGAGAGAGAGAGAGAGAGAGAGAGAGAGAGAGAGAGAGAGAGAGAGAAACATTGTTTTGAGAGCGTAACATTAATGGGCTGCCTCCTGCATGCCCCCATCGGGGACTGAGCCTGCAACCTGGATATGTGCCCTGGCTGGGAATCAAACCAGCAACCTTTTGGTGCACGTGGCCAACCAATTGAGCCATATAAGCAAAGGGCCAAGGCAAGAATAAAATTTTAATTCCCTTCCTAAAGACTGCCTTGAATGGTTATAGTTGCTAGGTGTCATGACACCTAATAGCCATTCCAAGGACTATGCCAACTGCTGAGACTCATGGCCCCATTTGAGGCTGGAGCAGGGAGAGCCAGCAAACACAATATAATAAGGCAGCCCGGCTGGCATGGCTTAGTGGTTGAATGTTGACCTATGAACTAGGAGGTCCTGGTTCGATTCCCAGTCGGGGCATGTGCCTGGGTTGCACACTCGGT